GCCGAAGTCATAAGAAAAGGTAATATACAGCCGGCGCCGCGGCTCACTAGGCTACTCCTCCACCTAGCGGCACCGGCACACCGGGTTCTAGTCCCGGTCGGGGCGCCGGATTCTGTCCCGGCTGCCCCTCTTCCAGGCCAGCTCTCTGCTGTGGCCAGGGGGTGCAGTGCAGGATGGCCCAGGTGCTTGGGCCCTGCACCCCATGGGAGACCAGGAAAAGCACCTGGCTCCTGGCTCCTGCCATCGGATCAGCGCGGTGTGCCGGCTGCAGCGCGCCGGCCGCAGCGGCCATTGGAGGGTGAACCAATGGCAAAGGAAGACCTTTCTCTCTGTCTCTCTCTCTCACTGTCCACTCTGCCTGTCAGAAAAAAAAAAAAATACAGAAGGCCTTGTTATGAGATTTCTGACTCAAGCATAAACAAAACTAGATATTCTGGTTGGAAGAATGAGCTGAGAGATCATTATCTCTCTCTTTTTTTTTTTTTTTTTTTTTTTTAAGATGTATTTATTTATTTGAAAGGCAGAGTTAGAGAGTAAGGAGCAGAAGGGAGGAGAGAGAGAGAAAAGTCTTCCATCTGCTGGTTCACTCCCTATATGGCTTCTTCCAAGTCTCCTACATGGATGCAAGGGCCCAAGCACTTGGGCCATCTTCTGCTTTCCCAGGCCATTAGCAAAAAGCTGGATCTGAAGTGGAGCAGCCCTGTTTTGAATTGGTACCCACACGGGATGCCAGCATTGTAGGCAGCGACCTGCTACCCCATGCCAGCTCCCTAGTTTTGTTTTTTAAGAACAGGATTTTAAAGCTTTCAAATGTCACTTTTTCAAAAATTTGGTTACATCATTGCAAAGTAGTGTTTTAGAAAGAGTCCTATCTTTCTATTTTTGTAAAGCTATAGCTTTGTGGTTTGTTTTTAAGCAAAAACTACTATATCAAAAGCCATATGCAAAGCTCTTAAGCTAATTTTTGGAAAATAAAAGTTACTTCCTAAAACTACTTGGGGCCAGCGCTGAGGCACAGAGGAGTAAGGCCACAGCCTGCATAGCCAGCATCCCACATGAACACTGGCTGCTCCACTTCTGAGCTGGCCTGGAAGAGGAGCAACCGGGACAGAATCCGCCGCCCCAACCGGGACTAGAACCCGGTGTGCCAGCGCCGCAAGGTGGAGGATTAGCCTAGTGAGCCGCGACACTGGCCGGTCAGTTTCTAATAACATCACTTATCCCCTTTCTGTGGTCCAGCTTTCGAACTTTGAGGCATCTAGCCAAGAGAAATAAAAAAAAAAAATAGGTCTACAAAAAGGCTTATACACAAATATTCACAACAGTTTTATTTATAATAGCAAAAAAAAAAAAAAGCAACTAACATGTCCACCAACAAGAGAATGGACAAGCAAACGATGAAACATACAATAGAATACCACTTGGCAATAGAAAGGAATGAACTGCTGATGCTCTTAACAGTATTGATGAATCTCACAGACATTTTGCTGAGCCAAGGAAGCCAGACACAAAAGAGGACATACAGTACATTTATATGAGATTCAAGGAGGCTGGCGCTGTGGCACAGTAGGTTAATCCTCTGCCTGCGGCACCAGCATCCATAAGGGTACCAATTCTAGTTCCAGCTGCTCCTTTCCCGATCCAGCTCTCTGCTGTGGCATGGGAAAGCAGTGGAGGGTGAACCAAGTGCTTGGGCCTCTGCACCGGCGTGGTAGACCCAAAGGAGGCTCCTGGCTCCCAGCTTCGGATAGGTTTAGCTCCGACCATTGTGGCCATTTGGGGAGTGAACCAGTGGATGGAAGACCTCTCTCTCTGTCTCGCCCTCTCACTATCTGTAACTCTACCTCTCAAATAAATAAATAAAATCTTAAAAAAAAAAAAAAAAAGGAAATTCAAGAACAGACAAAACTGATCCATAACCTATTACCCTGAATGAATGGGAGGGAAGTTTAACAGAGAAGGGACATGAGGGACCTATCTAAGATACTGTACATGTTCTATATCTTGATTTGGGTGATGTTCACACAGAGAAAAACATAAGTAACATCACTGAGCTGTACACTTAGGATTGGTACACTTTACCATATTTAACATATAGCTCAATAAAAACTGGAAAAATTTATAAACAGGCATTTATCCATATGTAGGAGACCCTTTCTAAAAACTGGTATAATTTTTTAAAGCTATTCTCATTTCTCAATGTAAAAGAAAAATTTGGTTCTTGGGCTTCCAAAAGAACTAAGTTATCTAATCTTTACCAAAGAAAAGCAACTGAACTGTTTTAAAGGTATTACTACCAAGAGTTCAACATCTCAGTGTCAAAGATTCCCATTCACGGGAAACCCCGTGGCTTCAGAGCTGCACAGCCGGACCCAGGAGAGCATCCAACCCACAGCCGTCACTGTCATGGCTCACGCCCCAGCCCCAGCCCTGGGCTGCAGGGAACAGGTTGAGGGGAAGGATGGAGAAGACCAAACACCTTGCCCTTGTCTTGGCAAAGGGGGCTGGGCCGCCCAGTGAGCAGGAATTTGCCTGTTGCCTTTAAAAACCAATGCTGTTCACATTCTTTAACCTGAATTCAATAGAATTAAAATTGCCAGTATTTATGTCAGTAATTGTCAAACTGGCATCTAAGAAGTCTAGAGGCAGTTTGGCAGTTTCAGAGGAAAAATCAATAATAGTTGCAGTTTTTGTATGGAATAATTATACTTTCTGTTTACACACACTTGACAAACATGAAGAGGTGACTTATAATTTCAGTGGTTTTGAGCATTGCATTATTTGCATTATAAAGATGATAAAATGTTTATCACTGAAAATGCATGGCTAATACTTACTTTATGAGTCTGTTTTCTTTCTCTCTCTTTATGTGTGTGTATGTATGTGTGTGTCCCTTTCCTCTTTTACACAAATAATTTTTAAAAATGTTTGTGATGAGAGTAAATTTAAAAGGAATCCAACAGTTTCTTTCATACTAAAATATGACAGCTGATTACACAAGCTTTTAAAGTGAAAACTAGATTAAAGTTTTGTTCTCAATTCTGATAACAAAGACCGTCTTAAAGATTTCAAAGGACTGCGTATCTCAACAATACATCTAGCATCTCGACTTGCCACTCTCTCTCTCTTAAGGTATAAATATCAGGGTTGCAATGCCGAGTTTGGAGCATTGGGATTTCAGAAGAATACTGAATAGTGAAGTGCTGATTCAATACTCAAGAATTTCCTCTGCCAAGAGCTCTATAGTAAATTATAGGGCACATTTTAAAATTTAAAATCACTGTCACAGAATGTCGAGAAATATTTCTTGGATCCACACACAACCAAATAGCAGAAATATTAACATTGAACCAACCTGAGGGAAAAATGCACTGTTCAGAGGAAAATCTGTCCAAAATTTCTGGATTCATATTTAACTCAAAGTTCAAAGCTAGCGACAATGCCTGCAGACTGTGTTCCCATTACTGATGGCTTACAAGTGTGAATTAGCACTTCCTAATTCAGCAGAAAGCAGAGTGTGAGAAAAGACCTGCACACAGAAGCTAATCTACAGCCTGAGGCATCTATCTTCAAACCTGCCAGAAATTATTGCTAGTAATTTTAATATGTCTTATAACTGAAAATGATAACACATTTTTAAACCTAAAATTTATCAATTTCCATATCTTTTTTTTTTTTTTTTTTTGACAGGCAGAGTGGATAGTGAGAGAGAGAGACAGAGAGAAAGGTCTTCCTTTTTTCCGTTGGTTCACCCCCCAAATGGCCGCTGTGGCCGGCGCGCTGCGCTGATCCAAAGCCAGGAGCCAGGTGCTTCTTCCTGGTCTCCCATGCAGGTGCAGGGCCCAAGGATTTGGGCCATCCCCCACAGCACTCCCGGGCCACAGCAGAGAGCTGGACTGGAAGAGGAGCAATCAGGACAGAATCTGGCGCCCCGACCAGGACTGGAACCCGGTGTGCCAGCGCTGAAGGTGGAGGATTAGCCTATTAAGCCACAGCACCAGCCTCCGTATCTTCTAAGAATCCATTAAGCGGTCCATGTAGCTCAAGAGTTAGAGAAACATAGATGAATGGTAAACCATGATGAGAGTTGTATTACGTGCTTCTGGGTATCACTGATTACAACTAGCATCCAAGGAACCAAAAAGGAAAGGGCTGTTCTCTCCCTGGGCACAAGTCATGGGAAGTGTGTCTTTGTTATGCTATTTTTATAAACAAGAAAACTGTAATTGAGGTTAAGTAAAATGAACAAAGTCATACAGATCACATACACCAGAAACAGACCTAACCAAGATCTCACACTCCTAACTCAGACTGTTTTACACCATTCCTTCTCAGAAAAAGAGCCTTCTGGCAAATCATAAGGTTTTTTTGGTTTGTTTGTTTTTGACAGGCAGAGTGGACAGTGAGAGAGAGAGACAGAGAGAAAGGTCTTCCTTTTGCCATTGGTTCACCCTCCAATGGCCGCCACGGCTGGCGCGCTGCGGCCGGCGCACCGCGCTGATCCGATGGCAGGAGCCAGGTGCTTCTCCTGGTCTCCCATGGGGTGCAGGGGCCAAGTACTTGGGCCATCCTCCACTGCACTCCCTGGCCACAGCAGAGAGCTGGCCTGGAAGAGGGGCAACCGGGAAAGAATCCGGCGCCCCAACCGGGACTAGAACCCGGTGTGCCGGCACCTCTAGGTGGAGGATTAGCCTATTGAGCCGCGGCGCTGGCCTAATAATAAGGTTTTAATTATTTAAACCATTGATTTAAAAGTACTATGATCCTGAAACTCTTACTGGGCTACTAGCTACTACCTAACTAAATTTCTGGTACCACAATTTCTGATACTCAGCTTCCATCAAAAACCTTCTCACTTAACTATAAGATTGTCTTATTGTCACCTTGAGAGAACATTCAATGCAGCTCAAAGCAACACATTTTTTAGTCCGGTGCTCTCTCTATTGTAATATCACTCTATTCCCAGGACCAACATACAAAGCACAAATTTCCCTTCTTACCCCATAGTCTGTGTCCTCTGTCCTCTGCACTTTCAGACCTGGAAAAAATATAAGGAGTATATAAGTACCAGATCCATCTATACACATATATTCCTCTTCTTAAGACTTAAGCCAACAGCGTAGTTTGCAGTTTGGCTGAGGGGTCATATTCAACCTAGTTAAAAATTATTAGAACTATTTCCACTAGGTGGCTGTCTTTACAAAGAACTGAAAGAGCTATGTGAGCCTGTGGTCATTTGAAAGTTCTGAAGCTTACCTTTCACAGAGATAAGCTTATATGCAGCCATTTGGTGGATTCACTCATACAAAGCATCCACCCATGATTTTATATTTTCATCATTTTGGAAAAATCCATGTATTAAAAATGTAATGCACTTTTTAAAAATGAAAGAGAGATTTTCCTTGTTTCTAATTGAACATTTTCTCAAAGAAATAAATAATTTCACCTAGAAGACTAAAAGACATAAATGAAAATTATGGGACCTGGCTCTGTGGCTCAATGGGTTAAAGCTCTGGCCTGCAGTGTGGGCATCGCGTATGGGTGCCTATTCAAGTCCCAGCTGCTCCACTTCCAATCCAGCTCTCTACCATGGCCTGGAAAAGCAGCAGAAGATGGCCCAAGTCCTTGGGCCCCTGCACCTGTGGGGGAGACCTGGAGAAAGCTCCTGGCTCCTGGCTTTGGAGCGACCCAGCTCCAGCCCTTTAAGCCATTTGGGGAGTGAACCAGCAGATGGAAGACCTCTCTTTCTCTTCTGCCTCTGCCTTTCAAATAAAGATATAAATTAAAAAAGAAAATTATGTCTATGTAATCACATTTGATTTTGTTAGATTCAAAAGTTGGATGAAAAAATTAAGTATTCTTTAATATTTGGAAGAAGAAATTTATAACTGCTATTTATAACTCAAATTTGTTTTACATCAATCTCCAGATGATAAAGGCATTGTAAGTAAAAATATTTATTGAATAGAATATATTATATGCTACAATTTCTTACTCTGGTGAACAATGAGATTGTCTGTTCCCATCACATGCTTTGTTATTTGATTTGTGGCAAAATTGAGATAGGTTTTGGACAAGGTTGTTTGGTCATTTTTCAGTAAATGTTATATTCAAGATAACAAAACAGACATGCTCAAATTGTAAGCATATAGCCTGATTGATTTACACAAAATTAAATTAGTGCATTTTCACACAATTGGAGATTTTATCTTTTTTTCATCCAGAAACCTTTTATTTAAGGAATACAAACTTCATACATTTCTTTTATTTATTTATTTATTTATTTTTATTTTTGACAGGCAGAATGGACAGTGAGAGAGAGAGACAGAGAGAAAGGTCTTCCTTTGCCCTTGGTTCACCCTCCAATGGCCGCTGCGGCCGGCACACCGCGCTGATCCGAAGGCAGGAGCCAGGTGCTTCTCCTGGTCTCCCATGGGGTGCAGGGCCCAAGTACTTGGGCCATCCTCCACTGCACTCCCTGGCCACAGCAGAGAGCTGGCCTGGAAGAGGGGCAACCGGGACAGAATCCGGCGCCCTGACCGGGACTAGAACCCGGTGTGCCGGCACCGCTGGGCGGAGGATTAGCCTAGTGAGCCGCTGCGCCGGCCCCAAACTTCATACATTTCATAATTACAATTTCAAGAACATGGTGATTCTTCCCACCATGCCTGCCCTCCTACCCACACTCCTACCTCTCTTCCTCTGCCCTCTCTTATTACCTGCTTATTTTTTATTAAGATCTATTTTCAATTAACTTTATATACATATGATTAACTCTATGTTAAGTAAGGAGTTCAAAAATAGTATGGAAAATAAAACAGTTCCTAACAGAGAAGACAAGGGCTGTTCAAAGTAATTGCTTCTCAAAGTGTCAATTTCACTTCTACAAATTGCCTTTCAGGTGCTCTATTAATTATCACAGGTCAGGGAGAACATATGGCCTTTGTCCCTTTGCAACTGGCTTATTTTACCAAGTATGATGTTTTCCAAATTCATCCATTTTGTTACAAATGATTGGATTTTTTTTTTACTGCTGTGTGGTACTCCATGGTTTACATATACCATAAGTACTTTATCCGGTTTTCAGTTGATGGGCATTTGGGTTGATTCCATGTCTTAGCTATTGTGAATTGAGTTGCGATAAACATGGGGGTGAGATAACTATTTCACATGCTGATTTCATTTCCCCTGGGTAAATTCCCAGGAGTGGGATGGCTGTGTCATATGGTAGGTCTATATTCAGATTTCTGAAGTATCTCCATACTGTCTTTCAAAGTGGTTTTGCCAGTTTATATTCCTACCAACAGTGTGCATCAGGGTACCTTTTCCCCCCACATCCTCACCAACATTTGTTGTTGGTTGATTTCTGTATGAAAGCCATTCTAACAGGGGTGAAGTGAAACCTCATTGTGGTTTTGATTTGCATTTCCCTGGTGGCTAGTGATCCTGAGCATTTTTTCCTTATGTTTGTTGGCTATTTGGATTTCCTCTTTTGAAAAACGCCTGTTAAAGTTCTTTGTCCACTCCTTAACTGGTTGTTTGTTCCGTTATTTTTTAGCTCCTTGATATCTTTATATAGTCTGGTTATTAATTCTTTATCAGTTGCATTGTTTGCAAATAATTTCCCCCATTCTGTCAGCTGCCTCTTCACTCTCCTGAATGTTTCTTTAGCAGTACAGAAACTTCTAAATTGGCTGTAATCCCATTTGTCAATTTTGGCTTTGATTACCTATGCCTCTGCAGTTTTTTCCAAGAAGTCATTACCTATGCCAATGTCTTACAGGGTTTCCCCAATGTTCTCTAATAATTTGATGGTATCTGGTCATAGATTTAGGTCTTTAGTCCAATTTGAGTGGATTTTTTTATAAGGTGTAAGGTAGAGGTCTTGCTTCATACTTCTACATGTGGAAATTCAGTTTTCCCAGCACCATTTGTTGGAGAGACTGTCATTGCTCCAGGGATTGATTTTAGTTCTTTTGTCAAAGATAAGTTGATTGTAGAGACTTGGATTCTGACACTTCTATTCTGTTCTGTTGGTCTATCTATCTGTTTTTGTACCAGTACCAGGCTGTTTTGATTACAACTGCCCTGTAGTGTGTCTTGAAATCTGGTGTTGTGATGCCCCAAGCTTTGTTTTTGTTGTATAAGATTGCTTTAGCTATTTGGGGTCTCCTGTGTTTCCATATTAATTTCAGCATCATTTTTTCTGTATCTGAGAAGAATGTCCTTGGTATTTTGATTGATAACAGAGTTGCTGGATCATAAGATTTTCATATGTTCAGCTTTAGTAGATACTGCTAATTCCCTGAAGTAATTGTACGATTCTACACTCCCACCAGTGGTATACAAGAATTCCATTCTCCCACTTACTCCTTAGCAATTGGTATTGTCAGTCTTTTAAATTGTAGCCATTCTGATGGTTATATAGTAGTATCTCCTGGTGGTTTTCAATTGAATTTCCAAAAAAAAAACTAATTCTTTTTATACCTACACTTTTCCCAATCTTTTGATAATTTTTCTATAATATTTTGTATCTTTCACTTAATTTGCATCAGTTCTTTATATAGCTGAGGTTTGTCAAGTGTGTGGTCATTTATAAATACAGATTGAGCATCCATAATTGAAAAATCCAAAATGCTCTGAAATCTGAAACTTTTTGAGCAAAGGGTTTTGGATTTGGGAGCATCCCAGATTTCAGACTTTCAGATTAGTACTGCTCAACTGGAAAAAACTGTGAAAAGATTCCAAAATACAAAAAATTCTGAAATCTGAAACACTTCTAAGTATTTTGGCTAATGGGTACTCACAAGTGTATTTTTAACTATCTTCTTCCATTCTGGGGCTTGTTATGTTTTTAATGGCATCTCTGATAAGCTAAGTCTAACTTATCAATTTTACTCCCTTTATGGTTAATGCATGCTTTGGGTTCTGTTTTAAAAAAATCCTTGCCAATTTCAAGTTCATTAATATATTCTTAGAGCATTATTATTTAACCTTTTATAGTTAGAGCTAATCTACCTCCAATTGCTTTTGGTATATGGTGTGAGGCAGGGGCAGAAATTCATCTTTTTTCATATGGATATCAAATTGTCCCAACACTGTTTAATGAAAATCAAACATTATATTACCATATAATTTCACCTTTTTAATAAATCAAATAGTTGCACATACCATGGGTCATTTCTGTTCTTTCTATTCTGTTTCCTTGGACTCTTTGCCTAGTCTTGAGTCCTTGACCTTCATTACTGTAGCAATGTAACAAGTCACAATATCTGCTGGTGCAAGTCCCCCAGCCTTTTTCTTCTTTAAAATTATCTTAACTGTTCTTGGTCTTTTGCATTTCTATATGAATTTTAGAATCAACTTGTAAATTCTGGAAGAAAAACAAAAACAACAGATTTTTACTGGGATAGATTTATTCTAATAGATTTATTAATCAATAAATCAGTTTGGGATAAACTGGCATCTGGTAGTTTTGTAATATGTCAGTTTAGCTAGGTAAAACTAAAATCTCCCAGAGACAGGCATTTAGCCCAGCTGTTGAGATACTGGTTAAGATGCCCTCGACCAATACCACAGAGCCTGAATTCAGTACCTGGCTCTGGCTCCTGATTCCAGCTTCCTGCTAATGTGGACACTAGAAGGTGTCCCAGTGATGGCCCAGCCTGAACATTTCAAGTATTTGGGGAGTGAACCAGTAGAAGGTTCTCGTTCTCTCTCTCTCTCTCTCTCTCTCTCATTCTCTATCTCTATCTCTATCTCTATCTCTATCTCTATCTCTCCCTCCCACCATTCTTCCCTCTTTCCTTCCCTCTTTCCTTCTCACTCTGTCTCTCTGGTTCTTTGCCTCTCAAATAATGAAAATTAAATGACATAAATTCCATCTCCCAGAATTTGCTTTATTTATAGTTTTTGGTTAAGATGAGCCCAGGAACCTCTTTTGTTGGAATTAGGAAAGCAGAATCATGGCAACAGCTATATTTTTCACATTCAGATGTCACAGCAGGCTTTGTTATAACTCCTGCACATTGTCACTGATCTCTTGGCTCATGTTGTTGGTGTGTTTATAGCAATCAGGCCTGTAATTTCTCCAAATTCCTCTGAATCCTTTTCAGCTTCTCCAGCTTCTTGGCAAAGGGTACCAGTTTCTCCTGCTGGACACCCACATCAGCAAGGTTGGAGGCAATGAGAGCTGAGCTAATCCAGATTCTGATCCTGTTCTACTTGTTTCATATCCTTCTTCCCTTCTCAACTGTGTCCCATACAGTTTCAGCTCCAGCACTAGACACAAAGAGAACAGTGCTACAAGTGTTGCTAGTGCTACTATTTTACCAGCTCCCATGTTACGTAATGTCAAATTCTTATCACAGTTCAGACACACACACACTATGTATTTATTTCTTTGTCTTATTGCTTCTGCTTCTCTGATTAAACCCTGATTTACACATATCTTTATAATACTGAGCCTTTCAATTTATGACCATGGTATATGCCTCTATTAATCAAACCATCTTTAATTTCTCTCAATAATTATTTGTAGTTTTTTGGCATGATAGTCTTTTTATTTAAAAAAAAAAAGATTTACTTATTTTATCTGAAAGTCAGAGTTAGAGAGAAAGGAAGAGACAGATATCTTCCAACCACTGGTTCACTCTCCAAATGGCCACAACAGCCAGGGCTGGGCCAGGAGATTAATCTGGGTATCCCATGTGGATGGCAGGGAGTCAAGTACTTAGGACATCTTCATCTTTCACTGCTTTCCCAGGTGCATTAGCAGGGAGCTGGATGGGAAGTGGAGCAGCCAGGACTCAAACAGGCACCCATATAGGATGTTAGCGTTACAGGTGGCAGCTTAACCCACTACACAATACTGGCCCCTGGTGCGAGCTTTGTGTATCTATCATTGTATTCATTCCTGAGTGTTTAATGTTTTGATGTAATTACAGATCTTACCATTTGATTTTATTTACAATTATTTCTTGCTGGTATATCAAACTACAAACATTTTAAAATATTTTGGGGACAGGCACGTGTCATAGCAGGTTATGCTGCCACTTGGGATGCCCATGTTCCCTATAAGAATGCCAGTTCAAGTCTCAGTTCCTCCACTTCCAATTCAGCTTCCTGCTTATGCACCTAGGAAGGTAGAAGATGATGATTCAAGCACCCAGGTCTATGCCACCCATGTAGGAGAACCAGATGGAGCTTCTGGCTCTGGGTTTTAGCCTGTTCCAGCCCTGGCTGTTCTTGGCATTTGGGGAGTGAACCAATAGATGGAAGATTTCTCTCTCTCTCTCTCCCTCCCTCCCTCCCTCCCTCTTTGTCATTTCATCTTCCAAATAAATCTTCAACAAAAATTTTATTCAAGTATCTCACAAACTTGCTTAAAGTCAGTCATTAATTCTAAGAGTTTATAAACTCTTTTGGATTTTCTATATATATTATCCTATTATCTGAGGTTATATGTTTTTTTTTTCCTTTTTGGACTGCTGATAGAAGTGTTGATACAAGTGGTGAAGGTAAACTTGTCTCATTGTCCCTCTCTGAGGGGTATCTTTAAGTAATTCACTAATAAATATTATATTTTCTTTAGGTGTTTTAAAAATAGATTCTCCTTATCAGATAAAACATTCTTCCTATTGTTTGCTAAGAGTTTTGAATCATGAATGGTTGCTGCATTGCCAAATGCTTTTTCTGTATCTACTAAGTTGACGATATCACCCCGCTTTTGTTACTGCAGTGAGTTACACTGATTAATTGTCAAATGTCAAACCAACTTCACCAAATGCCAATTTGGTCATAATATATTATCCTTTTTCTATATTGATATATTCAATTTGTGAATATTTTGTTTAGAATGCTTTCTGGTCTATTCTTGAAGAGTTTGGCCTATAATTGTCATTTCTTAAAAGCTTCTTTCAAACTCTGGCACCTCAGGTTATGCTGACTTATTAAAATTAGTTAAAAATGTTCCATATTTTTCTACGTTCTTGGGTGTAAAATTAGCATAACTTCTTCCTTAAATAATTGGAAGAATTCTCTCATAATGCTATCTAGTCCTAAAGGCTTCTTATGGGAAGGCTTTTGAAAATTACAGAGCCAACTTAGTGTATAGGGAACTACACAACATTAGTGTGATGTATATAAAACTGCCTATAAGTACAGCTGTAGTAGCAGCCATATGTTTTACTATATTTTCACTATCATTTAATTCAAAATTCTAGTTTCCATTGCAGTTTTTTACTTGAGACACAGCTTATTTAGAATTATATTGCTTCATTTCCTAACGGCTGAGGGTTTTCACTAACCAGCTGGACCCACTGTGTCAGAGAACAGTCTGCATGATCGCAACCCTCTGAAACCTGCCAAAGCATGCTTTACCTCCCAGCACAGGGCCGGTAGTGGCAAATGTCCCACACCCACTTGAAGTGAACATGTATTGTGCTGCTGTTAAACATGAAGCTACAACTATGTCTGATCATATCTTGTTAACACATTGCTCAGATCCTGTGTACCTTTCCCCATGCTGTGACTGCTGGTTCTGCCCGCTGTTGAGACAGCCATGTTAACGTGTTCCACTTTGTGGATCGCCCTGATTCTCCTAGTTATTCAAGTTTTTACTTCATATTCTTAGAAACTATTTTAGCGGGTGTAGAAAGGCAGGAAATTGTTATCTTTCTGAAGGATTCACTATGTCCTAGGCCATTTGGGCAGCTACAAAAACTACCAACTGAGGGGCCGGCGCTGTGGCTCACTTGGTTAATCCTCTGCCTGCAGCACCGGCATCCTATATGGGTACTGGGTTCTAGTCCATCCCAGTTGCTCCTGGCTTCGGATCAGCTCAGTGTGCCGGCCGCAGCAGCCATTGGAGGGTGAACCGACGGTAAAGGAAGACCTTTCTAAACTCTGTCTCTCTCTCTCTCACTGTCCACTCTGCCTGTCAAAAAAAAATTAAAATTTAAATTAAAAAAAAGATAGCATGGTATTGGAGGAAGAATATTTTAAATCAGTTAAATGAAAGAGAGTCCACAAAGGAACTTATGAATTTATTCAAGCTTGATGTGGCACTGTAGTTGTCTTCTAAAAGAAGCAGCCACTTAATAAATGGTACTAGAACAATGGGTTATCTCTATGGATAAAACATAAAGAAAAGCAATTGAATCCCTAATCACACTATACCACGAAATCAAGTCCAGAGGATTAAAAACAAATGTAGGGGCCAGTGCTGTGGCGTAGTAGGTTAAGATGCAGACTGACACAACATCATCTCCTATGGGTGACAGTTCAAATCCTGGCTGTTCCACTTCTGATCCAGCTCGCTATTAATGTGCCTGGGAAAGCAGCAAAAGATGGCCTGAGTGCTTGGGCCCCTGCCACCCACATGGGAGACCTGGAAGAAGCTCCCAGCTCCTGGCTTCCCTGTTATAGCCATTGGGGAGTTAAGAGATTTCTCTTCTCTCTCTCTCTCTCTCTCACACACACACACACACACACTTTCTATAACTCTGCCTTTCAAATAAGTAAATAAATTTTTAAAACAAAAACTGAAATGTAAAAGACAAAAATTTAAACTTTTAGAAGAAAATAAAGAAAACATTTTTACCATGTCAGGGTAAAGGAGAATTCAGAAATGAACTCACACAGAAACATACACTCTAGATAAAAATATTTATAAATTCAACTGTATTAAAATTGAGATATATTTTCATTGTGATAAACCACAAACTGGGAGATGATTTTTTTTTGACAGGCAGAGTTAAACAGTGAGAGAGAGAGAGAGACAGAGAAAAAGGTCTTCCTTCTGTTGGTTCACCCCTCAAATGGCCACCACAGCCGGTGCGCTGCACTGATCCGAAGCCAGGAGCCAGGTGCTTCCTCCTGGTCTCCCATGCAGGTGCAGGGGGAGATGATATTTTCAACAAATCACTAACAAAGGATTAGTATACAGAATATTGAGGAGTGCCCACACATCAATGGCAAAGGTAAACAGCACAACAGAAAAATCAGCAAAAGACAGGTGCACATTTTCCTGAAGAGGAAATACAAATAGACCATATATACACATTTATGAAAAGATTGTAGTATGATTTAAATGATTGTGCTCTTTCCAAAATTCCTGCTGAAACTTAATCCCTGATGCAGCAGTATGAAGAGATGTGGCCCTTGGAAAATGATTAAGTCCTGAGGGCTCTGTCTTTAAAAGCACGTGTGATGGAAGGGGATGTTCTTCTGCCCTTCAGTCCCTTCCATCATGAGTCTACTGTTCTCCTGGAAGAATCAACAAGGCACCATCACCAGGCACCAAATTTGCCAGCACTCCGATCTTAGACTCCAGAATGGTGGGGAATAAATTTCTACTGTTTATAGATTACC